CCCCCCCCCCCCCCCCCCCCCCCCAACCTTATTTTTCTTCTGCTCCAGTTCCACGCCTCGAAAGCGTACAATGCTCGTGTCACAGGAAATCAGAAGGAAAAGCGACCACTGGCAATGATAAAAGAACAGCCGCAAACTGTAACAAAGAAAACGATAAAGCCCAGGATCCTCAAATTAATACGAAATGCTACGCAAGACATGGTCGGAAGCGTCGCTCGTGAGCACAAGAATGGCTGAGGACAAGTGCTAAGTGGAGTAAGTGGTGAGAATCGCCAATGCAAACAAAAGGAAATTGGCTATAAGGAGGTCCTGGCTACCACCACCCTCTACTTCTGTGTGACATGCGCGAGTGATTACTCAAGTTTCAAGTAGTCTCGGCCAGCATCAGCCCTCGCGAAGCAGTCTTTTTACCTGACTTGTTGCTTTATCTTTTCTCGTTTTTATGCATTTTTTTGCATCTGTGCAATGCAGAAAACGCATACTGGCGAGAGGCTGTCTGTATGTGTGTGTTCGTCTGTACCGATTTTTCATCTCAAGACCTACAGAAGCCACAGAGCTAAAACTTTGGGAACTTAATCTACATGTATGTATGGGCCCCCATCTCCAAAATGGTCGATCTTACTCGCTTGGTACCCACGTACGGGCCCGCCAAAATTTTTTTCGGGTAAGTTTCTAAGTCAGGAAACTGAGAAGCTAGAAGACTGGAATTTTAAGGACATGTTCCACGTCCACGTAAGTATTAATGAGTTCAAACCAAGTCCCCGGGTATGCGCAGTTCCTATGTACGGGTCCGTGAAATTTTTTTGCGAGTAAGCTGCTAACTCGGAAACTAGAAAAGCTAGAAATCCGAAATTTTAAAAGGATGTTTTCAGACAGCCCTGGTGGCTAGTCTCAATCATCTTAGCTAGCAGCATTTGCCGAAAAAACCGGTGCCGTTAGCGAAAAAAACCTGCGGAGAACTATGCAAAAAAACCCATCTTCGCACCGGCAGTCTATGGGCTGGCCACTTTTTTTTGTTAAGCTTGCTGCATTAATCACCGCATTTAGCTCTACTTCTTTTAGCAATTACAGCATTCATTTTCTTGTCCACAATAAGCATTGTTTGCACCCCAAGTTAAAGGAGCGAATTACAGAAACATGCTCGTAAATTCACCATGATTAACACATAGCCGATTTCGTTCGTTCTTCCATTTGTATTTGACACAAGCTAAATCCGTCTCTGCCCTGTTACCTTGCCTAAGCACTTATTATCAAGAAAACCTCTTTTGCCAGTCTGTCCAGAAGCGCAAATTTTGCTTTCCAATCGTTCATCACGATCCCGTAAGTTGACCTGACGGTAGGCTATGAATTTAAATGGCTCTTAAAATGCAAGCTGTTGATCAGTGCAACTATCAGTAAGGGCCAAAACAGACAGGAGATCTGCGAAGATCATTTCCTGCTGATGATAAACGCGACTCGGCCAATGTTGCTCGGTCAGCCAAGTTTCGACCATTCCTCCAGGCTGCAATGCCTTTTAGCACTGCTTCGCACATGTTCAAGAAGATATCGAATAGACAGTTTCTGAAGTCGTCTTTTAACAGAAGCTCGTCGAAAGTTCAAGCACTAGCCCCCGTTGTTGATCCACCGACAAAACCGGGTGAAAAGTGAGGCAGGTCTTTGAACCCGCACTTCCCGTACTTCTCATCGCACGAATCGACCGTACGCCAGGTTCACAACCGGCTCTGCATTTCATGCACAGCCGCATGTCCTTTACTGCATCATGAAACACTTTTCAAGCTAAGAGTAATCTGGCACGAAACGCTGCACAGTATCACTGGCTGTGCCTGGACACCAGCCAATCCATTACCATTCCCGCACCGTCAACTCCGGTCGAATTTCGTAGGATCATGGAATTTGAAATAATTTCGTAAATTTTGGAAAGAGTAAGCTACGAAGTGGAAATTCTTGGATTTTCAGTTCACTTCGTGACTGCAGGATGAGCGTTCGAAATCGCCTTCCAAATGTCATGAATGCGTTGGTCTATAACAGCAAATCCAGGCACGAGTCGGTGTTATAATTCCAGTACGGAGTAAGCCATAAATCATAAACTGCAGAACTTTGCGTGCGCCAATAAATCAAAGAAATCAATTAATAACGAAGTCCTGTGAGTGCCAGTATAATGTGCAGCTGAATACTCATGGTTGAACAGAGGGTATGTAATTACCTTTTGGCCGTCACAACTTCCTGACCAGTGGTCACGCGTCCAGACCTGAGCTGCGTGCTAATTTCTGAACGAAGCAATTCACAGAGCGATAATTTTTACGCTTTGCTTGAGCTGAAAGAAATTACAAAAAACGCATTTGGAACACACACACAGATAGGATCTCAATTATACACATTTTGTGCAACTGTTGCAACATAAAACGCAAACAGATCGAATGAGGCGCTCAGCAACGAGATGAGGAGCCCTGCGCACACTCGAAAGCGAACAATGTCTCCAGTTAAAGGAGGTTAAACATTTCTCAGTAAGGGAAAATGCAATTTTGTAAATTCCTAGAAAAAAAGAGCACTGAAACCTCGCAACCATAAATCCCAGGTACAAAACCGGACAGAGGAAATTTCGCATGTGAAAAATGAGTTACGAATGGTAATTTGGAACAATGGCCTGGAGTAGCAAGAATGTTGTACTGGAGCTACAGCATTATGAATCAGTAGTGCAAGTGACACATACACAAAGTACCATTGCACCACAGCAAAGTATGGTATCGCTGTGTGCCCGGGGTGGCAACACTCGAAATGAGATTGCGATGGTCAGTACACACACATACACACACATATACACACACACACACACATACACACACACGGACGCACACACACTCACACACACACACACACACACCAAGGAGATCCGGGAACGGCATAAGCCTTGACAACAAATATTTCTGCCCGAAAAAACGAGACGAACGTCACGAGAGAGAGCGCGCAAATTGACGGGCATCGGGCGACGCAACGCACTGGTCAAAGTGCGCAGCCGCAGCACGAGACCGCGATTTACAGCTGAATTAAGATGTGTGCTGCTACGCAGATTGTTGCTGTAAGCAATTGGAATGTGGAATTATCTCAACAAGCCAGTGAGTCTCTCTGTGAGCAGCCTTCTGAATGCCAGCAG